CAATAGCACGTTTAATCGATAGCTTATTAGTCGATTGCTTAAACTTTTGAGTATTAATCAATATGAGATGAATTATTACAAACTTTTCTATTAAAATTCTTATTTTATATCAATGTGAGATGACTTCTGAGTATAATCAATATGAGACGAATCATTACAAACTTTTCTATTAAAATTCCTATTTTATATCAATGTGACATGAGTGGTTGCATACTCACACAATTCAACTTTTTATTTCATATAACTATTAAATATGTTATTGCATTCAATTAGAGTTAAATCTTATAAAAGAAGAAATTGCGTTATTCATTCTTAGTGACAGTTTTGGCCACTTATTAATAGATAATGATAAAAACATGTGGCCCTTAAATGCACAATGTGATATGATGTTGCTACTTAACTAAAACCATTATTGGGCCACTAACTTTAAGTATTATAAGATTTTCCTTTATTTTCTTATAGAAATCTAAACATTATTTTCTGAAAGAAATCTGAAGTTGGTTTTGTTAAACATGATGAGTAAACCGTACTTTTAAAAAATTGAATAAGTTACTTGTAAACAAAAGTTATATTTTTGCTTAATTGTGTGGTAAATGTGAAATATTTTTACAAGAGACAAGTATACGGTTTGGACTTTGGAGTGAATCAAAGACTTCATTAATGACTCATCCGGAAAAAAAATCACATGTTAAGTATAAACCATTAGGGTTGTGGTGACTTGGTAATATACGTGAAAGATATGTGTTAAATGCAATTGTCATGCATCTTTTAGCATGTTTTTTTATTACTTCTAGCTTATCATTTAATGGTGGTTTCCCTTGTGTTTCAATAAATTTTGTATGTCTCGTTTTCTTTGTAGAATGTCCTACTATTCACTTTTAATATAATTTTTAGGGTAAATTGGATTGATACGAGAACATGGAGATTTGAGGATGCACTTAAGGATGCATTGAAGCATAATCGGAGCTGAAAATTACAAATGGAAGATGGGCATTGGATGGAAGCAACTAAAACTTGAGATTTATGCATGAAACGCATGAAAAAGCCTTTACTATAACACTCCGACTCCTAGGTATAAAATCTAAAAGCTTAAAGTCATATTCTTGGACCTACTCGATGAGTTGGTTGCCCCCCAACTCGTCGTGTAGAAGTGGATCAAGTCGCGTGTTTTATGAGGTTTACTCGACGAGTCGGAGGACCCCGACTTGACGAGTAGGAGCTGGAAAATGAAATCCTAATTTTTAAGGTTTGCACCCTATTTAAAGGATCTTAAGTCCTTTCCTCCAGCCCCTTACCACCTCTTGACGGCCAGTAGAAACCCTAATCAATCTAGATCTTGTTCTTGAGTGTTTGTGAGGACTTAAGAGTGTTTTTGGTGCATTTTGTGAAGAGGGCTTGAAGTTTAAGGATCTTGGAGCAAAAGGAAGCTTGTGGATCTGACTTTACTTCTTCTTGGCATCATTTTGAAGGTAACAAGTCGTTACCTTGGCTTATCTTTAGCTAGATCTATTCATGCATAAGTTTAGGGCTATTCTTAGCATATTTGTGAGTCAATTCGGATATTGGGCATGATCTGAAGTTGTAACTTTAGATCTGGACTCCTCTTAGTCCCTTTAGCCATAAAGTTATCAAATTTAGCAAACATTGGCCCTTCTCTTTGGGTTGAACCTTTCCCTTAGCTTGGTTTGGCATTTAGGACCATGCATGTACGTAAAGTTTGCAACTTTACGTAGAAACCATGCCCTAGGAGGTTAGATCTGCAATATGGAGCTTTGGGGTAGCTTAAAAACGCCTGGATGAGAAATGGACTCGGCGAGTCGGATGAAGATTGTCTGTATTGGTCTTGCATGAACTCGGCGAGTCAGTAAGAAGACTCGACGAGTCAGTTAGGGTTTTCCCGACATTTGGACACGCATGGACTCGACGAGTTGGTTGGAAACTCGGCGAGTCAGTTAGGGTTTTGATGATTCCTGAGTTCTTAAGGAACTCGACGAGTTGCTAGCTGCACTCGACGAGTCGGGTCAACATGGACTGTTGACTTTGACCGTTGACTTTGACTTTGACCAAGGGTTAACCAGTTGGACTTTTGAGGGTATTTTGGTAATTTGGGATTCTGATGGACTTGGTCTTATGGTGGTTATAGGTGGTTGAGTTCGTGACAGTGATTCGGGAGTTTGATCTTATCACTACAATTCGACATCGTGAGGTGAGTTATTCTCACTATATCAACAGGGTCTACGACACCAAGGTCGACCCTTTATGATTTGTATCCTGGTTATAGGATGGTTGCTATGTTAGTGATCCGTTAGATCAGTATCCTGGTTATAGGATGGTTGCTATGTTAGTGATCGATTAGATCGGTATCCTGGTTATAGGATGGTTGCCATGATTAGTGATCTGTTTGATCTGTATGACTATCTGTATTTGCTAGCTAGCGTATGATATTATGTGCACATGTTTGTTGGTTTGGGGGATTGGGTTGAGGCAGGTCCTGCTTTGTGCTGTAAGCCAAGATACCTAGGGCGGACCGGATAGACTGCAGACCCGGCTAGGGCATACTAGTGAGGCCGAAGGCCCGACGAGCAGTCTGGATAAGCTGAAGGCCTTGAGAGGCGGTCCAGACGTGTCGATGGCTCAGAGAGCTGTCCAGATAGACTGATGGCCTGTGAGGCGGTCCAGTCAGACTGATGGCTCATTATGCATGTTGTGTTTGTTTATATGATATGGGTATATCTGTATGGCGTTGGTATTTTGGGGGAAACTCACTAAGATTCGGGCTTACAGTTGTTGATTATTTTTCAGGTACTTCTGATGACCGCGGGAAGGCGAATGCGTGATCGTGCACCTCCTTATATTTTCATGATTTGATTATAGGGATACTCTGATGTTTAAACTCTTTTGAAAACAAATTGTAATAATTTAACGGTTTTAAATGTTTTAAAAGGTTTTAAATTGGCTTGAATTTTATGGATGTCACATTTACACGGTTGCGTGACCCTATTACATAACCATGTAAGCATCCTAAAGAAGTTATGGACCATTTATTCATGCATAAAACCATGAAAAGATTACATGATCGTGTAAGACTACCGAAAGTGTTATACAACATGATTACACGACTATGCTTCCCTTTACACGATCGTGTTTTTTCTCATGGAGTCCCGAAGTGGCATTGTACTTCATTAAACCAACTCAACATTTTGGAAGTGTCTGAAGGATGTCAATATAGAGAAAGTCATAGGTAAAGGGTTATCCATCGATTAGGGAACACCTATATTTTTAAGGGAGTGAAAAAACTAATTTTTAGGGATAAAGACCTCTTTGACGACTCAAAATGTCTTTGGTGTTTTTCAGATTAATCTAACATCCTAGAAATTCTTGAAATACTCCCCAAACATGCTAGCCATCCCAAGACGCCCCAAAAATGCCGATGTTGATTTATGTCAAAAAAATATCCCATCTTGAAAAGCCAAAAATGCCTAGGCGTCCTAGGAAGGCTCAAAAACTCATGATTTCCAAGCTAATTTTGGTAATGCAAATGGCAGAATTATCTTAACCACCAAACGCTAAAGTTGTAGAAAACTTTGTCTTCTTTCTAAAACATCTTGAATCACGTTAATCGGAGCACTAGAGTGTAAGATATGGTTAAAAGAATGAGGAGTTTTCAATATGCTCGACAATGTATTTTATTCAGTACTTTGTTTGGTTCGTCCCACATGCCCGACTCTCATTTTCTTACTGGATGTATAGTTTTCACCAATTTCTTTCGGTTTTTTTTCATATGCATTTATATTCAATAACTTTATCAAAGTAAGGTCGTTGTTTGGCAAACATACTCTAATTCAAGTGTTTTCAAACATTTTACCATATACCTAAGATTCCGGTATCGAGAACCGAAATCATGATTTTCACGATTCCTTCTTCGGCTAGGGTTTGGCGCAGTTCGGGGATTACAGATAAGTTTTTCAAAGTACAAGCGGCCGAAGCTTGGGAAATGGAATCATCTATATCCACTAACATGCTAGACAACATATTTTCGGTAGCTAATACTATTCACGTTATATATAATACATGGGACTATACAAATATTATCTATATATACATTTAACATTTACAAGTAAATGCGTCATTCCAATCGTTCAATATTTGGTAATGACAAATTTGAGGTTTAGAAGCAACAAAAATTGCTTATAATAGTTGCGTAAAATCCTTATTCTAATAAATAAATAGTTTTAATCTCAATTGCCAAGTGTCACTCTAATACAACTTCTGATTAATATTATGTCATGTATCATGTAAATATATTAGACAACTTATTTCAAAATTCAAATTTACATTTTTCTAATTATATGTTAAATTTGAAGTTATATAAACTTTAAAAATTTAATATATTTCTTAATTAATAATTTATTTAAAATGATTTATTTAAAATAATTGATTAATAATTATAAATTTTTATTATGAAATTTTAATTAATTTTATAAACCGTGGTTCCCACAGGTTATAAACTAGTATATGTGATGAAATCACTAAACAATTTATTAAATTAAGAAAAATAATTAAAAGCAGAAAAAAAAAACCCTTAATTAAACTGAAAATATTGAGTTTAAAGTTCTATACGAAAGAAATCAGGTTCCAGTGTTCCACAGTTGGATCAAACCAAACATGTGATCGTCGAGACCTTTCTACTTATCCAATAACTTTTGGTTTCTACTCATCCATACCTTTTTAGCTTTACTCATCTAATCCATTAGAAACAAAATTTAGCAAATCCACGAATTTACCTATAATTCAATGCATATGAATCTATGTACTTTCTTTTCTCATAGCATCATAAAACTGTCTACTTTCAAAAGATAAAGTAACAACCCAAAACAATAAATAATTTACTTACAACAATTACTTATTTCTGTAGAAACTTATGAAAACATCCCAAAAGTTAATAAATTCATACATCCACTAGTGTTTCTGTTTCATACAAGATAATGAAACAACAAAATCTACTTTTTCCCAAACAAATTTCTCAACCTCCCCCTTTCCAACTTCTCAAGCAACTTCCCACAACCGGGTGTCTCAGACTCATTGAGTTTCTTGAGATACCCGATTGCCCCGTAAGAAACCATCAGTTTCCTACACCTTTTGCTCGAAGAAAGCAAACCCAAACAAGAAACCGCGTATTTTTTAGCCGTATTTTGCGGACTAGAATCAAGCAGTTGAACCAAACTCGGGACACTTTTATCATCTTTTTTAACCTCTCTTCGGTTGCATTGAACCGTCATTAGGCTCGCAAGGGCTTGAGCTGCCACTTCCCGAACCCCATTCGATTTAGCCTCGAGCAAACCGATCAACAACGGGACACACCCGCTTTCACCAACGAGTTTTTTCACTTCCGTCGTGTTACAAATACGACATATCGATGACGTGGCAGCCTTTTGGGCCCCGAGTGAGCCCGATTTTAACACGTGGACGATTCTCGGAAGCAGTCCGAGTGAAATTAGGGTTTCCATTGACACTAACCCGACCAAATTCCGTAAAGCTGCAACTGCGGGTTCTTGAGGTAATGGGCCATCGAGGTAAGCCAATAGACTGCGGACCCCACCTTCGTTAATCACCGATCTTTTTAGATCATCGTTGCTCGAGGTTAAATTCCGTAAACATTCCGCTGCGTATTCCTTTGATCCCAACAAGATTCCAGTATCGAGAACCGAAATCATGATTTTCACGATTCCTTCTTCGGCTAGGGTTTGGCGCAGTTCGGGGATTACAGATAAGTTTTTCAAAGTACAAGCGGCCGAAGCTTGGGAAACGGAATCACCGATTCCGGTGGAACAAATGTCGATGAGAGGCGGGACACCGCCGTGTCCCGCTATCGCCCTTGCGGTTTCTTCCGACATTGACAGTCTTTGAAGGGCGATTACGGATTTTTCCCTTCCGATTGAGCTTCCGGATTCTAACAACCGGATTAGAGGTGGAAGAACACCTTCCGAAACTAGCCAACTTTCACAACCGCCAGATTCCGCCAATGAACAGATCAAAGTAACCGTTTTTTCCCGGATTCTTGGTGAAGTAGCGGTGAGGAGTTGTACCAAAGCTCCGATGTTGCTACGTCCCACGATGGACAAAACCGTCTTTTCATCTTCTTTCATCACATCAACAAGGGTGTCGAGAGCTTTATGTTTAGCTTCCAAATGACCAATTTGCAGCCTCGCAAGTAATTCTCGGATGTTATTGTCCGTGCTTCGATGACTTGTACCTTCAAGATCGGTTGACATGGTGACCTCACCAAGAACACCGGTTTTGATTAAAAGCCCGCAATCTCGAAGATTCAAATCGAGTTTTCCTGATAATGAATCGAGGTCGCTTTGCATTTGGAGCTTTCCATCGTATTTTCCCTTTGAACATGTTTCTGCCAACTCGATTGATTCATTCAAAGTCTTGGAGATTGCTTCTAATTGTTCGTTGCATAACGTGTTCTTCGAGAAACATGGGTGGCTTGATAAATCTGATAAACGAGATGGGATTTGCTCTAATCGAGATATAATCATTTTCCATCTTCCTGGGAATTCTTTCACTTCTCGTGCCTTTTCCAAAGCCACCGGAACAAGATCTTTAGCACGTGAAAGCGACTCATCGGCTAATCGGAGGTCGGCCATTGAAACTTAACCAACTCTAATCTGCAAAACATACGAAGAAAAACGCAATATTTTCAGGGGTTTAAATTAAAATAAACTCAAATTTGAGTTATTGAGGTCAATTTTGAATCTGTAAGCCTAAAGAAACCGACATACTGAACTGAAAATCGATAAAAATCGAAGCTTTAAGACTAAACAGATGTACATATAGATTTTACATGGATATTATAGATCTAAGACCTCAATTTTGACTTTTTTCAGGTCAATTTGAATCGTCAAAGCTCAAAGAAACCGATATGTTTAAGTAAAGCGATCCAAAACAAGATAAAAAATCGAACCTCGTTCTTAAAAGATGTGGAAAAATCCCAACATGAAACTTTATTAATGAAATAAAAAAGAAAAAAGGAGCAAGATCAAGAAATTTAAGGAAACCAAGATCAAATTTGATTCTTGAAGCTTTGAGAAACCAACATGCTCAAGTTAAGTTATCGAAAATAAGATTAAAAATCAGAAAAAATCACTACTTTTTCGTTAAACTATAGGAAAGTTTGCATCACCTAACTTTCAAATTATCAAATAATTAAATAAAAACTAAAGAAAGAAAAAGGGACCAATATATAGAAGATTGGAGAATCTTGCATCGTCATATATAATCTGTTTACTTAAAATAAGAGAGGCAAAGTAATTACAAGGAAATGCAAACCCCACATGTGTGTAATGAGTAATGACCATCAAGTTCTAATAATACAAAGAAATTATATATAGATATATCTATCTATATATATGAACAAAATTGTTGCTTATTTTTCTTTCTGATTTACTTTACACGATTGTAGTGTAAAGATGATGAAAGTGAGGGGACGACATTTCAGTGGCTAAGAAAGAGCCGCCTATTAAAGGCAATTATCAAGAAAGTTTCTGATTTTTTATTATGAAAATGATATGACATGTACGTTTTTTTCTCTGTGAAATAAACTGTAAAAGGACAATTATGTCTATTATTTATCAGAAAATTATATATGTATATGTGAAGTCATGTTTCGAAATGCTAAGATTCAAATTTGGGCCTTTTTGTCCTCATTATATATCTTATTTTCGAAAAACGAATCTAGAGTCAATCGAGTTAACTTCTAGCTATAAAGTCAAACGAATTTTGCTTCGTTTCAAGCTCGAGATTTGATAATTACTACATTGAATGAAAACATGTTTGGCGTTACAAAACTATAAATAGTTTTATGAAGTATGAGTTTTTAATATAAAATTTTGGATTTTTCCAAAATTTTAGAGCAAGTATTCTTTAGAAATGAAGAAAACTGAATCGAGACTTTGCTTTGAAGTGGGGACTTTAGAGGGTCTCTATCAACCCTCACTACAACCCATACAATACAATATTTTACAAAATTGAAATGACACCAAACCATCAAATTATTTTTCAAATAACTAAAAGTTTTTTTTTTTTTGGAAAAGGGAACATTCCAGTGGAATCAGAATTTAAACATAGGTATAGTAACCGAGTAGTTGACTCATGCTCTAGAGTCACTGCAGACGGACCTCCATATAGCTATAGGGACTGAGTAGTATCAAAATTTAAACATAGTTTAATCGGTTATCCACCAATACCCAAGTTAACATAAAGTCCATCTTTTTATTCTATTATTTTTAATTTTTATGGGTCCATAATCAAAATTTCATTTATAGCCATGTCGATGATGGTCCCACCAAATGCAAATTAAATTTTGGGGCAATTAATACAAGATCAAATCCATACCTCAATGTGATTGGTTTCTTGCCATCATTTGAATTACTTAAAATCCAAGACTAATGCTTCTGTGAAGAACAAATACAAAATGAATAATTAACAAAACTAAAATCATCTAAAAAATCAGAGAATTTGAAAAAAAAGAAGGGGGCTTTGGTGGGGTATTGTTGGGTGTGTTGTTTTAGAAGAACTTCAAGCAAAAACCTTTTAAACAAACTTGAACTTTATGTAAAAAAAAAAAAGAACTTTCCTAATTTGTTAAAAGCACAATCTAGGATTCGTAAAGTAGTTTCTAAGAAATGTGTGAAATACCCTCCTAAAGATTAAGGTTACCCTTTTTTAGACCAATTGCGGGTAATGTATAAGTTTTAATGCAAATCGGTATTGCTTTTGGAATTGAAAATTGTTGCTTTGTACAAAAACAATATCAAAGATCATGCTTTGAAAACACTATTTTCCTACTTCACGGAGTACAGTCAAAGATTAAACAATAAGTTTCTAAAAGATTTTAGACATACCCACCAACGATTTGATCTTTATAAACACTATTATCTAAAATTAGAATGCACAATCAATGATTTAATCAAGAATTTCTTGGAAATTTGACATATACCCACCATAGATTAGAACAATTCCAACAAAAGGGTATGATGGGTTTGATGTTTCAAAAATTATTTTCCAAAAATTTCCAAAACAAAGACAAGAATAGATGCAGTAATCTCAAAGCATTTGGCTTTTGAGAAATTCCCTCAAAGATTTAATCTTTAAAACCTATTTTCCGAAATTACATCACAAGTGTTAAATCATAAGTTCATAACTGAAGTGTTGACTTTGACAAACAGTCAAACACCCAACAAAGAATTGAATTTGATCTAAAATAACAAATTTCCTAAACTTAGAGAACCTAAACAGTGACTAAACAACAAATTTCTAAAGATATCGACAAAAAAAAAAAAAAAAAAAAAAAAACCCCACCAAAAATTTGATCCTGAAACACCTTATAAATGGTAAAGATTGATCTGAAGGAAATTTTAGGAACACCCACCAAAGATTTGATCTTAAAAACACCAACTTTGACCATGAAATGCTGAAGAAATAGTAGACCCAACGGTCAAATGTAGTATCCAAAAACGGAAATGCACAAGAATCAGGGAAGAATTTAAAATTTAAAATTTAGAAGTTTACCTGCAATGAAGACGATCAAGCTCGCAAATGGATGACAATGGAGTGAAGCAAGCACGACGACAAGAACAATTGCATTCAAAAATCAAAAAACGCTTCTTCCTTCTGCTTCGAATCCCTCTCTAATGTCAGACGCAAGCTCCAAGATTCACTTTATGAAACAACTGTTCAGAGTAAACAGAGGTAAAAACACAAAACCATAGAAATTGTACAAGTGTTTATGCATATATTTCAAGTTATGACTTCATCGTTTCTCTGGCTTCTATGGGTGTTGGTGTGGAGAGAGAATTTACTTTTAAATATACCTTGGTTAATGGTAGCAGGCCAAATATCCTTCTATATTATCGGTAGTAGTCCTTCTTGTTCTATAATTTGCATTATTTACCTTATACAAGCGTTCATTACATAACTATGCATTTGAAATGATTTATAGAAACGATGATTGGTGAAATATTAACGAACGTCTCTATAAAGCTGACTTTATCTATAGATAACACGTTGAAAAATTAGAATCACATCATCATATATGGACCCAAAACGCAGTGTTTGTGCATACGGTTTTTTTTATTAGCTACAAATATCAGATCGTCTAGCATCTTTTATTTTTTATTGTAAATAAAAATATGGCTCGACTTTTTTACAAGAATGTGATTATCTATGTCCTATAAAAAATTATATATTGCAACTAATCTTGCATACCCTCTTCAAAATATTTGCATACCCAGAAACTCAGAAAGCAAGAAAGCAGGTCGTGATAAGTGATTCCTAGCTTATTTATCTTTAAAAAATATAGTTTTTATTTAAGAAAAATCACATCTCTGAACACCATCTCACCTATTCTCAAAAAAAGAAAATTGAATTTTTTTTGAAAAACTCAAACTTATCCTTAAAAAGTTCAAAATCCTTAATAAAATGGGGAAAAACATGACGAGACTGTTTGACATATTTGTTCCGAAAACCCATTTTAAGTTAAGGGTTTTGACATATTTGATGTTTAAAAAAATGCAATCTTTGATAAAAGGGATAATGACTTGAAAGGGTAACAAACTTTCGATTTTGTTCACATTTAGTCACTAAACTTTTTTTCGTTATGTATTTGCCACTGAACTATTGAAATTGTTCATATTTTACCTTTATGACCGGTTGTTACCGGTCATAAGGGTAAAATGTGAACAGTTTCAATAGTTCAGTGGCAAATAGATAATGAAAAAAAAATTAGTGACTAAATATGAACAAAATCAAAAGTTCGTTTCCCTCTAAAAAAGTTCAATCACTAAATATGAACAAATTTCCTATTGTATTATGTTTTAGCGAATTATTTATTTTTGTTAAATTCTAGCAACATTTGTTAATGACGAAATCTATTAAATAAAAAAAACAAAACCCCGAAAATATATTTAAAAAAAACGAAAAACCAAAACCGAAATAAAAAACCAATGGTTTGACATTTTCCAAAATAAAAAATCAAAATTTCCAATCTGATTTTGGTTTTACAAAAAAATGAACCATTCTCACTGATGTGAATTATGACCATTGGTTTGACATGCGGAATTAAAGAACGCACAAAGAACACGGTGATTTGGGTGGTTTAAGAGATGCATTCGATTATGAAAGGTGTTTACAAAAAAGGATCGATATCTAAATCTACATAATTAACACACACTAACACTCTCAATGTTAAATCTCTCAAGCACACCTCTACATGTGGTATGAATTCACCTTATATAGAGGTGTTTACATGTCTCTCTCTCTCTCTCATGTCACAAGGGGAGTTTTGGATAGAAAAATTCTGAATTGAGCGCTTTCTCATTCTCTTTTTGGTTTTATAATCATTTTTCGATTATAAAAAGGGGGAGAGATTTTGATATGAAAATCCGAAAATTGAATTTTTGTAAAACCAAAATCAGAATGGAAAATTGTGATTTTTTATTTTGGAAAAAATACCAAACCATTGGTTTTTTATTTTGGTTTTGGTTTTTCGTTTTTTTTAATATGTTTTTGGGGTTTTGTTTTTTTTTATTTCATAGATTTCTTCATCAACAAATGTTGCAACAATTTAACAAAAATAAATAATTTGTTA